ATACGGATGCGCTGAATTATCCGACTCGATCGAAGCTTATTTAGTCAACCTTAAACAAAACGCTGAACATCTGCAGAATCTTCGTGTTAATGGCGCGTCTTCTTATATTGCTCCTCGAATGGACTTGAGGTTGCAGGCATGGCGTGATTCTCAGAAATCCGCTGAATCTAAACTTCAGAGGCTGAAAACCCGCATTGATCAACTTAGGATGAGCGTTGCCAAGAAAACACAGATCAAGGTTGACCTGTATCATGACTTAGAATCGAGTCAAGCGGAGATAGCCCGTTTGGAAGAGCAACTTGTGAAAGCTAGGGATGCTCATGAAGTTTTGGAGTCCGATCTGGCGGAGGTAACTCGAGCTGAGGTGAATCTATTTCGACAGCTGAATCTTCAAGACAAGATTCGTACTGACAAGGAGCAAGAGGTCGCCAGAATTCGAAGCGTTGATGAAGAAAACTTTAAAGCCAACTTGATACCTGAGCGCAAACTGGCTTATGTGACAGAGCTCTCCCAATTGGAGGACCAAATTCGTCATTACAAACTATTGTAATTTTGAGAATATACATTTTTATGCTGTTTTGTTTGAACATTTTTGGTCAATGTAGTGAACTTCTCATTGAGATTTTAATTATGATTACTCATTCTTGTTTAGAATAAATAGCCATAATACTCATAGAATTTTTGGCAAATCCTCAGCCATCAACGAATTTGATATGCCTTTACCGATTACCGTTTGAATTGGGTTAGTATGTGAATTATCTAAATCCGTTTCACATATAACATTGGGCTAAAAGAATTAAACTCTTCTAGACTTTAAACTACAATATTGAATATGTAGGCTACATGTGTTAGATGTAGGCTTATCTCTAGTAAGGGATAGAGATAACATCCCCCATGCATGAATAACATGTTTTTTTTAAATATAAGTAGGTTACATTTCCCATGCAGGAAAATGAACCCAAGATTATAAAGAAAGAATTGGTTATTCTGTCTTTAAATCTCTTGTTTGTTGGTAGAGATGAACCCAAAATTGAAGAGGAAGAATTTTATATTCTATCTCCTGATCTTTTTTTTGTTGGTAGAGATGAACCCATAATTGAAGAGGAAGAATTTTATATTCTATCTCCTGGTCTCTTGTTTGTTGGTAGAGATGAACCCAGTGATGGAGATGAAGAATTTTATATTCTATCTCCTGGTGCAAAGGAAACTCGAAGTGGGATCTTCACTTAGAGAATCTGGATTTGTTTGAATAATCCTAACTGTCATAAGGTTTAATTATTCAATTCAAAAGTGGACCTTTCGTTCGCAATATGAATCGAAAGGAGATTTTGGTTGTGGTCCTAACTATAGTAAGGTTTGACCAAGTGGGAGTTTTGAGACGATCCTAACTGTAGGAAGGTTTGATCGCTCGATTTGTGGACCTCTCGTTCATTGAAGGAATCGAGAGGAGGTTTTGGTTGTGGTCCTAACTATAGTAAGGTTTGACCAAGTGGGAGTTTTGAGACGATCCTAACTGTAGGAAGGTTTGATCGCTCGATTTGTGGACCTCTCGTTCATTGAAGGAATCGAGAGGGGGTTTTGGTTGTGGTCCTAACTGTAGTAAGGTTTGACCAGGTAAAGAAAGGGAGTGAGGTACAAATAACAATGAGTTTGTTGACTTGTACAAACTACTCAGCGGGCAGTTTTGATGTCAAACACAAGAATTTGACACGTAATGGTTCGGTGACTGATACGGACCGATACCCTGAATTTTGACATTGTATCCTAATTTCAGCATTGGGAATGCTAGAAAACAGATACAATGGGAGTTTGAAAGATTTTAATCCATTACGGATTTTAGTGGACCCTTCGCCGATCGATTTGATCGGTGAGGGATTTTGTGAGAAAAGATTAACTGTTTACAGATTTGAATCTCATCTCACCAAAAGCCGTAAAGGAATTTTATGATAATAAAAAATGGAATATTCGAATGATCAGTTTCTCATTTAGAACAATCGACTGATCTCGGGTTATCCCGAAATATCCTATACAGGATTCTCTAGGAACTTCTCGTTTTACATAGGTTATCCTGAACATATTACAGATAATATTTTTTCAGGAACTTCTCATTTATTGGCATCATTAATTTACTGCCATCCTGGGTAATCAGGCGATACGCGCCGTTTGAATAGACTGCTTCTATTATGAACGGTCCTTCCCATTTGGGTTGGAATTTTCATTTCTTCTTAGAATTGAGAATCATAGGTCTTCGGATAGCAAGAAGCAGATCTCCTTCTTTAAAACTTCGTCATCGGACCTTTTTATCGAAAGCCCGGGAAATTCTAGCTTGATAAAACTCGATCTGTTGTTGAGCTTCCAAGCGCTTTTTATCTAACATTTCTAATTCCTCGAGACATTTATGATGATATTCTTCCGTCGTCATTCCCGTTGCGAGAGCGATGCGGAGGAAAGGAATTTGTATTTCCAAATGAAGGACGGCTTCGCACCCATATGTTAAGGAATATGGGGTTGTTCTAGTTGGCGTACGGACAGTTGTACGATAAGCCCATAGTGCTTCGCCGAGTTTGTCGTCCCAATCTCGCTTATTGGTTTTCACAAGTTTTGCCAAAATCTTGATAATAGTCTTGTTAAAAGCTTCAGCCAATCCATTAGCTGTGGGATTATAAGCAGTTGATGAAACGTCCTTAATCCCAAATTTGCCGCAGAATTTGATAAATGCGTTGCTAACGAATTGAGGACCATTATCGTGCACTATTCGCCTTGGGACACCATACCGATATATGATATGGTGTTTAATAAATTTGACCACATCACTCGTCTTTACTTCTCTAAGTGGAACTGCTTCTGCCCATTTCGAGAAATAATCTGTGATTACCAAAATGAAACGGTCCCCTTTAACCGAAGGCGGAAAGATAGGACCCACAATGTCCATTCCCCATGTTTCAAATGGCCACGATGTCGCCGATGGGTGTAAATACTCTGGAGGCTGGTGCATATATTTTGCATGTAATTGACACACTTGACATCGTCGGGCGTAGTCAACTACATCCTTTACCATAGTTGGCCAATAATATCCAATTCTCCTAAGTCGGTCGCAAAGTTTAGGACCGGGTTGATGTGCACCGCATGTCCTATCATGCGCCTCTTTGAGTGCTTGTTTCGCTTCCTTATTGGATAGACAACGGAGTAATAGACCATCGTACAACTGTCGGTACAACATTTGTGCTTCAGCGTTGTAGTAAAATCTCGGTGCTCTCCGCCGAATCGAATCCCTTTCTCTCACGTCTTCAGGTAAGATACCATGTAGGACATAATCGATAATAGGAAAACGCCAATCTCTAACTTCGGATTCAACTCTTGTTGAGTATGCTTCTTTGGCAACCGAACCGTAGATTGGAACCATAAGTTGGTGAGTTCTCACTGTAATTAATTGTTCTGTCTCGAGAGGCTGAGCCAGAGATACCGACAATGCCGCCAATGCGTCTGCATATGCATTTTGGAGACGCGGAATGTACTCGATGAAAAATTCTTCAAACGAGCTTGCCATCTCGATGGCCACCTGGTGGTATGGAATCAGGTCTCGATTTCTGACTTCATACTCTCCTCGTATCTGATTAACTACTAATTGAGAATCCCCAAAAGCTTCAAGGTATTTGACCCCCAGCTCTTTGGCAAAATTAAGTCCAATTATTAATGTGTTGTACTCGGCCACATTATTAGAGCATGGTTCGATCAATGAGTATGCTCTAGGAAAGACATGCTTTTTCGGGGAAACTAAAACGACCCCCACTCCTGAGGAGATTTTAGAACATCCGGGCGCGCTCGCCATGTTGGTTGCGCGGGAAGCCCCATCGAAGTATAATTACCACACTTGTTGATGTGAGGTGGTATTAACTTCATGAGTTTCATCCGGTAAATCGTCGTAAAACTCGACTGCATCTTTCGTAGGGTTTTCCGCCAGAAGATCACAAATAGCTCGTCCCTTAACTGATTTTTGTTGCTTGAAATACAAATCATACTGCGATAAGAGTAAAGCCCATCTGGCTAAACGCTAATTCATGGAAACCGGTTGGGTCATGAATACTCGGATCGGATTTATGTTGGAAATGACATAAATTGTCTGTCCAACTAAATAGTGTCGCATTTTCTAGATTGCAAATACTAAGGCGAGGCATTCTTTCTCGATCATCAGATAACGAGATTCAGCTCCTATCAACGTGCGACTTAAATAATACACCGCTTGTTCGTGATCGTTATCGTCGTCTTGTGCAAGTAATGCACTTAACGAATGGCTCGTCCCTTTGACAAAAATCAAAAACGGTCTGCCCGATTTCGGTGCAACGAGGATAGGTGGATTCGGCAGATATGTTTTAATATCTTCGAATGCCTTCTGACATGCTTCATCCCAAATGAAAGACACGCCTTTCTTTGTGAGTTTAGAGAACAGTTGACATTTCCCAGACAGATTTGATATAAACTGACGGATATATGCCAATCGACCTTGCAACCCTCTGAGCTCTTTAAGATTCTTTGGGGATTGTAATTCATGTATCGCCTTTACTTTATCAGGATCAATATGAATACCTTTTGTGGTGACGACGAACCCAAGAAATTTACCGCTGGACATTCCAAGGAAGGACTTAGTTGGGTTCATCTTTAACTGATGAGTCCTCATAAGTTCGAACATCGTCTTCAGATCGTTAATATGGTCGCTTTTATCACGACTCTTAGGGCTTGTTTGGATTTGGAGGGGGTGAAGGGAAGTTAGGGGAACCTAGGGGAAGTTAAGGGAAGGGAATGGAAGAGAATTTCTAAAACTTGTTTGGGAAACTAGTAAGGTGAATCAAGGGGAAGTTATTTCACCCCGTTTGAAAAGTCTAATAACGGGAAGGGAAGGGAAGGGAATGTATATAAATTGACATAAATACCCTCACATGTTAAAATTGAAGCTTTGCACGGATATATATCCTCACATGTTAAAAAAGAAAATCCATTGTGCTCTGTTTCTCTCAAAGCTATGTAGAAACTTTAATTTGATGCAAAAGGTGATCAATGCATGCATAGTTGAGATTTTCTTTTGTTTTGTAGCAGTACATATTTTTACTTGGTTGCTTGCTATCGTGTCATCTACCTCATTTCTGGTCCATTTTCTAAACTCATGCTTTAATTCTATATGCCAGTTTCCACAACTTCAGGCTTCTGCAATGCTTGCTCTCTGTAAACTAACGATCATTGATGCAGACTTTTGGTAAGTCATAGGCAAATTGTACCATCCCTTCTGGTTTATGAAACTGATGAATGTATATAAAAGTTCTGGTTTATGAAACTGATGAATGTATATAAAAGTTATGTGAACAAATTTCAGCGAAGCAAATCTTCAACTTTTGTTCACTGTTCTGGAGAATGCGCCATCAGAAACTGTTCGATCCAACTGCACATTCATACTAAGTTTGGAATGAAAAATAATAATGACAGTCACATACCAACATACATACTAAATAGGCTAAAACAACTTACATAAAAAAGGAACATAATTCATAAAATCAAAGTTTTACAATTAGTACATGTTTCTAGCAAAATATGACCACATTCATACTAAGTTTTGCCATAAGAAACACAAAAACAAACATGTTTGTAATTGCCTCAGATAATCAAATTCGGCAATACAACTTACAAAAATAAATGCCAATAATACCAGCACATCCCACCTTCATAAGATGAGTACATGATAAGCTAATAACGTGATCGGGCTAACATAGATTCTCAAGATAACATCATCATAAGAAGTTCCTTGCGCTCTTCAAATGGACATCCAAGCAAAACTTTTAGATCCTCTGGATGCTTAGTTAGGAAAAGATACGCTTGTTTAATTTGAGCAGTCTCAACACCAAGTTCAAGCAAATGGTTCCAAACATCACTACTTTTCATTGGAGCACGTTCAAGAGCTTGTATGTATTTATCACCAGTGGATTCAATTGCCTCAGCTATCCTCTGCATACCCTTTATCACCTCCTGATCAACAATAGAAATTTCGTCCTTCGATTTTCTAGTTTTCTTTTGTGAATTTGCAGTTGATTTGGTTTCAGGGGTAATCACATTTTCATCATTGTTGTCATTTGGGTCCTCATCATTAATCCTATCAAAATTCTTTAACAAAATTTCATTTCGAGAAACCATACCATCGATGTCGTCAATTGTATGAGAATAAAAGACATTGCTTGCACTAAAAGCCCTCCTCCTTTCTCGTATCTCAGCTGCAGTTTCAGCAAGTTCCCCATTTGCTCTATCAGCTGCAAAAAGCTCCAATAGTTTATCATAGTTTCGGATAGACTTGTTCCTCCATTCAGCAGCTTCTGGGTGAGCCTGAAACAAATTTGCACCAAATTTTAGCTCACCTTTTCAGGAGGGAAAAAGTTTCAGAAAACAATAAACTGAAATCAACTTCATTATTAGTTTCAGCACACTGCTGAAACCTGAAATGTTTCAGTTTCAGCAGTGTGCTGAAACTGAAACATGAAATCAGGTTTCAGCACACTGCTGAAACCTGAAATGTTTCAGTTTCAGCAGTGTGCTGAAACTGAAGCCTGAAATCAGGTTTCAGCACACTGCTGAAAACTGATTTCAGGTTTCAGTTTCAGCATTGTGCTGAAACTAAAATGCAGCTGAAACATGATTTCAGTTTCAGCACAATGCTAAAATTGAACCTCTGCATACCCTTGTATAATAAATGTCATTAATGCGATAAAAAAGAAGAATTGTGTAAGTTTACCTCTATTAGTCTATCCCAAACCTCAGGTTCCGCACTCCACAAACTGGTGCTTTGATTCCAAGCAAAACCACTTCCAACATTCTTAAATAAATCATAACAAACTGTCCATTTTGACTTCATATATTTCATGCGATTCTTTACCTTTTCCTTATCAAATGGCTTATCGGGAAAGCTTTGCAAAAGTTCGACTACTATTTCATTATAAGCCGTTGATGTAAAATTCCCATCAACTCGGTTTCCCATAACATGTTGATTCAACTACTATTTCATTATAAGCCGTTGATGTAAAATTCCCATCAACTCGGTTTCCCATAACATGTTGATTCAAGTAAGCATCAATTAGCTTATCTTCATGTAAAATTCCCATCAACTCGGTTTCCCATAACATGTTGATTCAAGTAAGCATCAATTAGCTTATCTTCCATATTAGGAGTCCATGTCAAAACATTAGCATTCCTACATCGAGAAGAATCACCTTCCACATTCCTTCTTTTCGACATCCTTTAATCACACAATCATGTTAGAAGGAATTAATTATTCACAATTCAATAATTGAAAACTATCAATGAGAGATGACATGAGATCACAATAAATAAACTAACATTCATGCTACCGAATTAAAATGATATTAGTCTAACACTTATCAAGTACAACACCAATCAAGAAGATAACCAAAATAGAGAGTACAAATTAAACAAACAATAAGCATAACTAAAATAAATTATCGATGGTAATCTTGCCACATAGCAACTGCGATGCCATCTCTTTTCCACTCCCCTCTACGAACATCTTCGTCCTCATCTACATCATCTTCTTCAAATTGATTTTCATTATGTTCCTCATCCCCTTCCTGAAATTCATCATCTGGATCGACTCCCCTTAAAAAATTATGCAAAATACAACAAGCTAAAATGATCTTGTTTTGTGTTTTAACACTGTAGTTTGGTTCATTTGAACTTGCCATAATGGGAAATCTTTTTTTCAATATACCAAATGATCTTTCAACGGCATTCCGAAGTGATGCATGTCTTAGATTAAATAACTCGCGTGGATTCTTTGGTGGATTTCTTGAATACTCTTTCAAATGATAGCGTTCCCCTCTATAGGGTGGAAGTAATCCACTTCGTAACATGAATCCAGCATCAACCAGATAATATTTTCCTATAAAACAAGTTCATTTTGATTAGCAGCTTATTACAAAGACACAAATTTAGGCTTTTCTTTAGTTTATAATTACCTTGAGGAATCTTAAGTGGAAATCGCCTTTGTAAAGCATTTTTAATAATTCTGGAATCAGATGCAGTTCCTTCCCATCCAGGCAAAACGTAAGTGAATTTCAAGTCAAACGTGCATGCGGCCAACACATTTTGTGTGGGATAGTCTTTCCTACCACGATATCTAGGGCCGTCTCGAGGAGAAACTTTTACTCGAATATGTGTGCCATCAATTTCCCCAACACAATCCTGATGTCATAAACATTAATTAAAATCTAATAAATAACAACTTATACAAGATTAGATGTGAAGGAAGATATCATCACCTTGAAATAGGGATAGAACTTTGAATTGGTGAGTATCTCCGAAGGAACTTGTGATCCATTGGGTTGTACAAAAACATTTCCTCCAACTCTATCATAGCTCTTAGAACATTATGAAAATGACGACTCACACTCTCTCCAGATCGTCTAAATACCTTACTTACTTCACGGGTTGTTACACTGTGTCCCAACATGTATAAAAATTTTGCAACTTGTTCTTCAATAGTAGCCCTTCGAGTTGGTTGTTACACTGTGTCCCAACATGTATAAAAATTTTGCAACTTGTTCTTCAATAGTAGCCCTTCGAGTTGGTTTAAGCCCACCATTCATCTCTGTATAAAAATTTTGCAACTTGTTCTTCAATAGTAGCCCTTCGAGTTGGTTTAAGCCCACCATTCATCTTTAATATTTTGCACAATTGGTTAAAAGCTAGTGGATTCATTCGAATCATTTCACGACATATAACTCTTTGAGACATTATTTCTCGCACAACATCTCTTACTTCTTTAGGTTCTTGAGGATCAATATTTAATCTCCTAATCCTATCTCTTCGATGCACGAACCAATAAGCAAATAAGCAAATAGCATATCCAACCGCAATGTTACATGTGTGTTGAAATTGGAACCATGCGTCCATTATCTATTCAACAAGTTAAAAAATGAGGAGTTAAGACATGGAATTTTGTATGAATATAGACGCATGTAAACACAAAACTAATATGAGCCAACATGAACGTGCGCATTTAATAAGACTCATGTAAGCAACTGAATATAAAATGAAGATCAAGAATCTGAACTACTACCGCAGCATAGGTTATGTACATTTTAACTGATCCAGCATGTTTATAACAAATTATATCATACTATTCAACGAAGAACTCAGTACAGGGATGGGGGCAATGTCAAAATATCTATTGAAAACACCCAATCATCTTCTAACTGTACCCATGGGAAAAATAACGAATCGGGTATTATCAATAACTACCAAAACAAAGTTCTATCAATAAATTTTCTATAAATCTTTATACCAAGTAACTCTATTCTTCCAATAGAGAAACTGAGCTGCCAGATTTGAGCTAATCTCCCAACTCCAATCCAATCCAAGAAATCAGAAATTCAACTGAACCACTATCGAAAAACACCAATTTAATCGGCACCAGTAGAATAATCAAATGCAACAGGCCACCAAAACCCTAACTTACAAGGCTTGAGTGGAAGAAAACTATAATTCCACTTTAATGATGTAATGACCCAATTAATTATTGAACTAAGTTGCATTATAATATGATTATATCAACGGATCTTCTCACAAGCATCTGTATAGATTCTAGTACTACGCTTTTGTCTCTTCCTTCCAAACTACTTACAAGATCTGTAGTAAAATTGAAGAAAGAGGAGAGAAATCTTACCTTGAAAAAATTTTGAGGCGAGATTGACGCGGAGGCGAGTGAAGACGCGGAGGCGAGAGAAGCGGTGAAGAAGAAATGGTGGAGGAAGAAGCAACAGAGAGTTTATAATGTTGGGTTTTCTGTGAGAAAATTTCAACCGCTGGATTTTGATCTTAGCTAGGGGTAAATTTGTCTATCTACATTTATTGTATTCCCCCTCTTTACCTTCACCCTGGTTACACCCCAAATTGGGGGGGGGAAGAAATCTGTCCATTTTTTCACCTTCTTTCCCCTTCCCTCACCCCTATTAACCTGTTATATTTACTTCCCAAACAAGGTTAAAAGTTACCCTCCCTTCCCCTCACCCCCATTACCCTCAATCCAAACAGGCCCTTAACGACCAGATCATCAAAGTAGCATTCGACGGTCTTCCGAAGGTGTTCTTGAAAGATCTTCGTCATTGCTCGTTGGTACGTAGCACCGACGTTCTTCAAACCGAAAGGCATAACAGTATAACAAAAGACGCCAAGATGTGTTCTGAATGTTGTATGCTTTTCATCGTCTGGGTGCATCTTGATCTGATTATACCCCAAAAATCCATCCATAAATGATATTCTCTCAAATCCGCATGTGTTGTCAATAATGACGTTTGTAATTGGTAAGGGGAAGTCGTCTTTAGGGCAGGAGGTATTCAGATCTCTGAAGTCAATACAGATTCTGATCTTTCTGTTCTTTTTAAGG